AATAACTCGTTATAAATTTTTTTTAATCTTTCTTCACATATTAATAACTTACCACTTACTCTATAGGTTATTCATTTATTTGTTTATCTCTATTTTTCTTTCTCTATTTTTTTTGTTTTTAGTTGAAGGACAATTGGTTAATCAATTTTCAAATTGTCTTACGCTGTTTTTTTTCTCACTTTACACTACCCTCTCCCTCTCTCTCTCCCTCTCTCGCTTTTCTCTCTTCATTTCACTCTTGTGAACTATGAATTGTATAACTAATGTCTAACGCTTTTGTTTCTCACTTCACACTACCCTCTCCCTCTCCCTCTCTTCATTTCACTCATGTGAATTATGAATTGTGTAACTATTGTATAAATATTAAAACCAAGGAAATATATTTTTTTTTCTTTTTCCTTTTAAATCATTTCTGTTTATGTCCCTTTTCAATTGATTATTGTTGTTGTTATCTATTTAATATATTTACTATCAATTATTTCTCTAACTTCTCATATATTCTCACTTAGTTACTATGCTATATCATCCTACTACACAAATTTTGTCTATAACAGTTTATAAATGACCATTACAGTTTTCAATTTATAGATAATAATCATAATAATACTAATAAAATTGGTTACTAGTAAGTACTATATTGCCTTGTTTTCATAATTTCTTAGTAAAGAAGTAATAAAGTATTTCATCTTTATTGTTAATCGAACAAAAACCTTATGTAAAAATATATATAGATATGCATAGATATAGATATTAATGTAGACAGTGAATATTGTGGTCCCGTAAGCAATTTTGCTTATTATTTCAAAAAAGATGTTTGCAAGTTTTTCCCTCTTTTTTTTCTATTGTCACCCCTAACATTTGTTTCTACTTATAGTTTTTTTCTTGTTGCCTCGACAACACAAAATCGTGTATCCAGTTTAACTGTTAAGTAGGAAAAAGAAAGATAATTGGACTACCAATACTAATACTAATAATAATAATCATGGAAAATTTCAAAATTGATCTTTTCTTTTTTCATTAATCTAGTAATGCCTAAAGCTATTTAGTTTTCTTTTTTCTCTTCACTTATAATCAACGAAAAAGAAAAAAAAGTAAAGCAAATAACAGCTTGAAGAGCCACAAAATGATTTCAAATTTCATATACATATCAAGTGGTTATAGACCATGAACAGAAAACCTTAAACCTAAGTTTCATGTTAGCTAACACTCTTTAACAAGGTGAGAGGAAAGAAAATGAAAATTTAAATGTAGACGTAAATGACTGACGAACAGATTGTGACTTCCAAACTAGTCAGTGAGCGAATTTATGAAAAAGTATATAATTGATCGAAAAATTAAACCGTAGCAGAATATCTTGTTTATATATCTTCAGTAAATCATACTTCAGTAAATCATCTTCGTGTATTGGTTGAAGTTAGACATTAACACCGTTGGATGCCGGCTCAGTGGTCTAATGGTTAAGTGCTCGCGCGAAACCAATAGGTCCTGGGTTCGAATCCCGCGAGGTGCGGGGTCGTTGATGCGCACTGCTGAGGAGTCCCGTACCAGGACGAAACGGCCGTCCAGTTCTTCCAGCGTTTCCATGGTGGTCTAGCTTCAATTGACTCATGATTTCAACTTGTGGAATAAATATATATATAAGTCAAATAACATTCATGAGGGCTTAGATCATTGCTTATATAATCATCAATCATCATTTGTTTTAAGAGGTGTTTTTCACTATGCGTATGATTTGTCTTTTTGTTGAATCAATTAGATCCGTGTTACATTTTTTTCCATTAATAGATCCTAACATAATTAGTGGAAATGATCATGTTTGATATCTCTTCAATCATTTATTTTTGGATAAAAGTTTGTAAAGTAAGAATAACAAATAGTGAGAGATAAAATGAGTTCATTTAAATGATTCATTTACTCTTCCATATACACAAACAGTTATATGTATATAGAATATTTTACAAACGAAATCTCCTATATGGAACATGTAAGAGACATTTATAACTACTTCCTACAATCTCATAACTTCAGTTCTTTTTGTGAGAACAGATTAAATGAGAGAGATTATGACTTAAACAACCACATAGGACATGTGTAATTTCATTTTAGTTAAGTAAATCCTAAGTAAAATCGTAATAATAACAAAAATCCCTGAATATAATACTAGTCTAATATGTTTTGAAAGTTCTAAGATAATGTCAAGAGTTAGATTTTACAAAATCAACAGGGGATCAATGTTTATAGGTTAATGAAAGAAACATAATAATGAAACCAAATATGAAAATTAAATATAATGAAACTGGAAACTCAATGACAAAAAAATCTAGGATATGTGTGTTATTTCTACTTAGTTAAAGTTATTGAAAAGTGTGAAGACTGTCTGTTAAGTTCAACGAAGTATTTATTAGGCATTGTCAGTGAGCATTATTAGATCACTAGACAAATGGTAGATGTGATGAAGATGCATCTTATCAATGTACATTGGTACTGATATGAGAAATCACAAGTGTTTGTTTGGAATGTTTTATTAAGTCTTGAATTAATCTATTGATTATATATAATCCTGTAATTGGATTTATTACAGGACTGGTACCCATAGCAAGTGCTTAAATTTTTCAAATAGTGTTCCCTCTATTCTCTCGATATACATGCTACAACAAATACAGGTAAATGAGAAAATATAATTAGAAGTGAAAAGAGGCTCTCTTATCTAAACTAGTCCATTTCAGTAGGTTTTGTGTACTGTATACAATCATAAAATAAGGAACAAGGAATATCAGTTCGATACAAGACTTTATTGAATTATCAACAGAACTATCAATACAAATTTCACCCATCTATCATGTAAGAATGCACGAAACAACTATTAATTCGAATACCATATCAAGTATAGTAACCGATTTAAATCCGTGTACAATCAAGTATAACCAATCATAAACCTGAATTATCAAGCTGAATAGCTAGATCACATGTTTAAAGAATCTGAAAACTCATTTACTTTGAAAATGAATTAAGAATTACTATTGATCAAATCATTTGTACCACACAAAATGAAATCACTGAATACGCTTTATTTAAATACAATCGAAAATGAGGATAAAGATTTTTAAAAACAGATAAGGATTGATACAAAATTCAAGTTTTGAATGTAATTACTGTACCGTGACCAAAGTCTCCGTTATGTCATCTAATACTGTTTCAAAGTTACCTCGGATTAAATACTAGCAAATCACTCAAGATCTGTATTTTCATATATATGCTACGTTTGCAATGTTGTAAAGAAAGTAGATCCTACTCAACATTTTGTTAAGTATTATGAAAAACTTTATAACAATTGTCTTCATTAATAACAAAGTATTTTGTTATAACTTGTGGACTTGTGACCTATTGATATATATGATGTAATAATACCGCCAATTAGAGAAGTGAACTATCAATCATATCAGTGACACATAAAACCCGTACGAGCAGTCTAGAGTCTTTATCGATCCTGCTTCCCACCTAGCCCTGCTTGGTAAGTCAAGAACATGAATCTCAGCCTTTACGATATGAATCATGTATTTTAAACATACTGGGTTTATATACATGTCAAACAGACCACATCTTACCATATAATAGAAAATAACATTTGTACAAGACCTGGTTAAAAGTGGCTATGATTATGAGTGTCTGTAATTAATAGACAGGATATAACTCAAGAACGGTAAATCATATCATATTAGTCTATGGGTCAAAATAAAGCTTAGAATAAGAAGAACATGAATATACATAGTTCATCCACGTAACAACTATACAATAAAAATATATGTATCATATTAATTCATAAATAGTTCTCAAAAGTTACCATTTATAATTCTGGCTAAGATATAACACATTTATAAGACAAAATTTACTTTTCAAAAACAAACTATAAAAATCATCATTCATATGTTGATAATCACTTGTTTAGCATAGATACTATTCTATTACATCAAACTGTAATGAAAACCGAAATTTTTCAGATTATATACATAACCTTGTACAGTTTATTGTTTATTCATTCATCTAGCTATAAAAAGATCTAATGAATGAATGTCAAATGGTTTAAACAATACAATTTGATACTTATGAAATGAATAATAATAAATTTAGTTTTATTATTTGTATTTATATTTGTCATTAATATCAAAAGGGATTTTGTAGATATTATATGAATTTTATTAGTTGATATCATGAGTTAATTGAAGCCAGACCACCATGGAAAACCCGGAACAAATGGATGGTTGTTTCGTCTTAGTATGGAACTCCTCAGCAGTGCGGGGTTCGAGTCTCGCGGCGGGGGACGGGATCGTGGATGTGCACTGCTGAGGAGTCCCATACCAGGACGAAACGGCTGTCCAGTGCTTCGAGGTTTTCCATGGTGATCTAGCTTCAATTGACTCATGATTTCAACTAATGAAATTACTAAGATCACCACAAAACCCCTTCTGATATCAATTGTTATTCATAATAGGATAATAAATTTACTTATATAAACATATTCCCTATACATTTTCCACTGATCACCATTTAAACTTATCATATAAATAATAATAACTATATATATACTCTATGGTTTTGAGATGGTGGAGAAGATTTGTGGTTCAGATAGATGATTCTGATGAAGTTTTGTCAAGTTTAGTTGACCAAACCATTCAGCTTAGAGAAGAAAACTTTTCCCAAATTTACTCTATTCATTTATTTATTCACTCATCCGTTTAAAGCATCATTTAGAATTCAATTAGTCAATAATAATTATAATAAATGATTATTCTTTTTTCTTTTAAATAACAGTATTTCTATTGGGGTTTCCTTTTTATTATTATTATTATCATACTATGTATTATACAGAATCATTATGATACAAAATAATAAGAATGAGCTAGTTATTTTATACAATAAAACTCAAAGCAACCAATAATTACATACATTAATTTGTTTTTATACATTTATTTTATATTAGATTTTATTTATTATTCGGTTACCGGGCAAATCCAGGATTATCATACGCTGCTACACTTCGATGTGAAGGGAAATAAGGAAAATGCATTAAACTTTTACTATAATTATATCCTTCTTTCATTTGCTGTTGTTGTTGTATGACATGTGATGATAAGGTATCATTTTTATTAATAATAATATTATTATTACTACTAGTAGTAGTATTGTTATTATTATTTAAATATGTTGAATCTGTTGAAATATCACATTCATTAGGTGATAAATATCCTGCAACAGATACTTTAAATAAATCAAAATTTTGATAAATACATGGATATGGTTTTTTATCGAAAAGCGTTGTTGGTTGATTTAAAAACATTACAGGACTTAAAGCTTGACGTTTACAAAATGATGCAAATGAATCACATTCTGTTAAATGTTCAATAACACTAGGACGATTGTAAATAAGAAAAAATACAGGTCGATAAGCACGATGTAAATGCTGCCGTAACATCACTACACTACTTGATGAATGAATTCGTTTCGATGATTCTTTGATTTTATTTTCTGGACTACTTTGAGATGAACTCTTGGTGTCATCATTTCCTTTAGTGTTCTGAGGATTTTCATCAGTAAGTGAATCATCTGATGATGGTGGATCAGGAATATTTCCAGGTTTAATTTTGCTGTTTGATATGGTAGCATAATCAAAAGAAGAAATAGTAAAATATGAATTCATTTTATCATTATGACTAATATCAGATTTTAATGAAAAAGATTCTGCCGCTGATGGAAAATTAGTGTCATAAATATGACAGTTGGAATTATTTATTGTTTCAGTATTTTTCTCATTAGTCAGTAAAATCAAATTTCTGTAGCCATATACATCAGACCTACTGTAATCTCCACTTGGAGTAACTGTAGAAAGGAAATGTGTCACTATACTAAGATTGTGACAATTTTCACCACCAACTTCGTTATGCCTTAATCCAGGAAGTGTCCATATTTCACCCAGCTTCCACGACATTTGTTCACCAGTAACACTTAAGGGAAGAGTTTTTACAGTTTTACTATAAGTACTTGGTCGACATTCACTGTCAAACAGAATCAATGGAGTTAAATTTTGAGGATTTATCCCTGAAATCTTCTTTAATTTGATAGCTCTTATTACCACCTCAGCCACATAATCCGCCGCAGCATGTATTGAAGGTAAGTTTCTCAACATACCGAGCTGATATTCATATATAATGCATAGTTGTTGTGCAAAGCCTGATAGAATTGAAAACCTTTGTGATTCAGTAGTCATTTCAGCAAGTCGGAATAAAGGTCCTCTACATGTGTTGACAACATTTTGTTCAAATGGTGTACAAGAAGGACTCTGAGCATTTGAATAACATTTTCTAGTAATGGTTACATCAGGTATTTTTGGTTTGCGTCTTACGAACTCACATGGTTCATCAAAGTCAGAATGATTCTTTATCCAATCATTTTTTTCATCTTGAGACAATAAAGATTGGCGTTTGTTATTGTTGAGTGTGAAAGACAGTCGACGGAACAGTGGTGAGTTAGTTAAGGAACGAATTTTCATCAAAGGTGAATGATATGTTTGCTTTTGATTGGAAATTTGAATACTTATGTCCCGAGAAGAATAAGAACTTTCATTTTTTAAACGGTTGTTTCCACATTTTATTTGTTGATCAAGCAAACGTCGAATAAAGGGTAAATCACCAGAAGCATTTTCATTTTTAATACTCACTTTTGATGCTGACAACGTTGGTGATGATACATTTGAAGACCCAGAAGGGCTTTGAACACAACTGTTTGAAGCATATGAGATCGCTTGTATTAATTTGGATTCAAATGATTTTATAAAGCGATTAACAAACCATTTCAAATTAAGAAGGACTTTCTCTCTGTTTGGACATCGATTCATAATATTCTCCCTTTTCAGGGAGGAGCTCGTTTGTAAGGTGATTTATACGTCCAATAACGAATAAAGTGCTAATGCGAGGATTATGTACTAATGATGCGTCTAAACGACAACGTTTATTGGTCGATGTTAGAATCTCAATTAGTGACCATCAACAAATAATGAGAATTTGCAATAACGTTTTATAAGTCACTATCATTTTTATAGTAAAATGAAGTAGAATCCAGTGGTTTTTCAGCTCTCCTTTAAGTGGACTTTTCTAAGCGCGATTTTAAACATCAAGGTTAACTTACAAATGTGAGATTCAGTAGAATGCCTGGAACAGTCAAAGTGCGGGTTATATCAGCAAGAAATTTACCAGTTATGGATAGAGCAACATTTCTTACAGATGCTTTTGTTGAAGTAAATAGATTTCGATATCATTAGTGGTTACAGTTGTGTATCGGAAGCATAACTTACAAAACAGAAGTAGTTCGTCGATCTCTTAATCCATCATGGAATAGTGAATGGTTCTGTTTCGAGGTACCTGTTTTCTGTTTTTTTTTCAGTTTGTAGTTAGATGACCAAGCTCTACAAGATGAGGCGTTACTACTTAAGTTTGTAGCTATTTGATTTTTAATTCTAATAATTAGAGTTATGGATCATGACACTTATAGCGCACATGATACCATCGGGAGAGTTTACTTTGATTTAAATCCCTTACTGAGTCGTGGCCAAACCAGGTGTTTAAATGGTTGGTTTCCAATCTATGACACTATGCATGGAATTCGTGGGGAAATCTGTTTGGCTATTCGAGTAGATGTATTTCTTGACGCTAGTCGCTATCACCAATCTTCCCTTGGAGTACGCTTCTATCACTGTGAGTTCACATTATGTCTATATTATATATAAACATACTATAGTATCTAGTTCATCACTTGTCACTTTTACCAATTATCTTTCTGTCTGATTCATTACAACTATATTACTAGTAGGGTTTTGTATGGACCAAACTACGTCACTAATGCACACGCAGCCTACGTACTGAACGCAAATAATGCTGCATATATTCGATTTCATCTTGAATACATCATCAAAATGTATTGGTACCGTGTGTTTTCGTTAGAAATTTCAAGGATCTAAAATCCTGTGCAAGAAGCAATTCATGAAATGGAAGTAATTCTATTTTAGTTTTCAGACTTTATCACGATGCTCTAAATAGTGGATTCTAAGTAGGAAAACCAAGAAGGTACAGACAAACTACTGTTCAGTCTTTAAAGTTCGAATACAATGTTGCTTATCAACCCTAAGCATTGTCATTACATTTACATTATGATAATATTACCTGTTCTCCCAAATTCCTGTGGTAACAGCCTTCCTCTTATTTTGAATAACTGTCTATACTCCTATTCGTTTAGATGGTCAAATCCACTATACGATTATTTTGCCGTCTCTGGTATTAATAGTTTACTGCCGTCTGGAAATGTTACAATTGATCTAGAAACATATGTGGTTCTCTTACTTGGAGTAAACAATTGAGTAAACCCTAAATTATATGTTGAGACACCGCAACTTTTACAAGCTTTCCTGCGGATAAATATCTTTCACTCATTTCATTGAAAAATCTTCCAACTCATTCTTCAGATTTACACTAGATTGCGAATTTTCCCAGTTCCTTCCTAAATATAAAGTCCTAGACTTAGCAAACTATTTACAGACATGTACGCAAACTGCGTCGATCGTTACATTATTATCCCTATCTGTGTTCTGATTTTTGTGCAGCGAAGTTATTGAATCAAGAGCCACAGATTCACCAACCAACTTGACGTATAACGTCAGGATGCATAGTTATTCCCTGTATTTCGATAGCTGTTAATATCAATTAAACAGTCGTTGACATATGTAAACCCCTAGTGTGGCAAGGCTTCTGCTCTCACTCCACTTTGTAATGATTACCTGTAAAACGTCTTTAGCTGGATACAATGAACAGTAATAAACTATCCTAATTACGAATATATAACCAAGACACTTGAATTCACATGTGATTCCTTCACAGTGGTTCTGCTGGCGTGCTAAAGAAGTAAACTAGCATTGTTGGAGTTGGTCGCTTACATAAAGCACCGATCTGTTATCCATGCGACGTATAACTCTATTACACTGCAATTTTAATTTATACTGATCATACTAGTGTTGTTTTTAAGAGAGAAACAGATTCCACTTTTAAAAAGGCAGTAGCTAGACTCAGATTGTTCATCAGCTTTCCAAGTTCATGGTTCTTGTTTCCGAACCAAATGGGTTAGTATATAAAACTTAAAACATAGCCAGTAAACATTACTTTATCATGGGATTACCAGTTGTATTCAACTTCGAAACCTGACTTTTTGAAGGTTTCTAAATTGGGGGATCTTCATTTTGTGGGGTCTTTATCTAATTCAACCAGCGCTTCTCTCCATTTGATTTCATTTTACTCGGGTCATCTAGTTCAAAGATTCTTACTTGGTGTGAATTTACGAGCAACAGTACATATTCCTGCTCAGATCGTATCACCTTTTTAAATGAATGGCGAGAACGGAAGTCATTGATCCAGTTTTGTTATAACTTGTGGCTTGTGTGCCCTGTTAATGTATAACGTAATGATACCGCCAATTAGAGAGCAGTGAATTATCGATCGGACCAATGGCGCGTAAAGCCCGTACGAGCACTCTAGAGTCCTTATCGGTCCAGCTTCCTGCCTAGCCCAGCCGGTTAAGTCCACATCACCGATCTCACCATCTGCGATATGAATCGTTTATTTCAAACATATTTGATTTATATACCAACCAAACAGACCACATCGTACCATAAAATAGGAAACAACATTTGTACAAGATCTAGCCAAATGTGACTGTGAGTGTGTGAAGTAGTGATTAATAGACAGGGCATAATTCAAGAATGGTAAATCGTCCAATAATAGTTCATAGGTCAAAATAAAGCTCATAATAAGAGGGAGAATCCTAAAACAGGATGAAACATTTATCCATTCTTCGCCGTTGTTTTTTTTAAAAAATTAATTCTCTATCTAAAGTTACAGGTTTGAACCATGTACAAATTTAGATTAGTTGAAGCAATCGGTTGCTAGTACCGTATTATCTCTGAGATAAACAATCTAATCGAAAGTCAAGTACATAGACATAGACAGATGATTATGCTGAAACTAATAGTCAATTAAATTGTACATCTCTACAACAAAATCAATCTTTTAACCAATCACTTTTATCTCATTATCCACAAAAACAGTTTCAATCGTATTTATCACCAACTGAACCATCACTACCACCACTACCACCAACATTAACACCTACACAACAACATATATATCATCAACATGATGGTTGTGGTCCATTATTATTACCACCACCAATATCTACTAGTTCTCTGTTGTACAATAATGAAGTGAACAATCGATTTGGTTATTCAAGAACGGCAACATTGGATGAAGATGATAAATTAAGTTTAGACGAAGACAGTGAAATGATGCACTTTACAAATTCACAAACGAATAATAATAATTCGGTTAATATTACTATGACGACAACAACAATGACTACTATTACTACCACTGCTACTAATATTAGTAATGGTGGTAATAATAATAATAATACTCACTTGAGTAGTATGTTTAATCCATATACTGTTGCGTTTATCAATAATAGTCCATCAAATTATATTCAATCGAATCCATCACACCATACTACTTTATCACATTTTAATCCATCATATTCTGTATGGAATACTAATGATTCAGTCATGAATATGTATAGTTTAGTTATTTAACAATTATACTATAAAATATACGCATAATATTAGACCATAAATGGATCCGAAAAGTTACTATTCATTATGCTTATCGGGACATATCATTATCTTTAGGTCGTGATAAATCCTCTTGAAGGTTTCTCAGGTTATGTAGTACAGGTAAAGGGTCATGGTGACCACAAAACACCCAAAAGTGTATTGCTCGAACGAATCTAAGTCATTCTGGCATTACTTATTTATAGCAATTAGACAACCAATGGTAACCCTTAATTAAACAACTGCAGCCTTATTCTGATTGTTCGAAGTTTATGGTTTTGAAGTTATACCTCCTATTACATGAATAGTTCACAACCGAAGTATGCTTTTGATATCCACAAAATATTAATTCTTACCCTACGATGAATGGAACTGAAGCTAAAGAAACACTGGACAGTTGGAGAAGCAGCAGTACAAAGGTTCAAAACAGCCTTCCTACGAGATACAAATTCAACGAATTCAAAATGACTCTCAACAACAGGTTCCAAGCCTTACAGTATCTACTCAAAGAAAATGGAACTACTATGGAGGACAATTTGAAAGGCATCGAAGAAGCACTAACTTCAACACGTCGGGATGTGCTGGGCCGCAAAAGGCATCATCATAAGGAATGGATCTCTATACAAACCCTGGGCAAGATTGAAGAAAGAATAGGAGCATTAAAGCTGACAAGCAGAAATATGTGGAAGAGCTGGCAATTACAGTGGAAAAAGCTGCATGTGAATGAAATATGAAACAACTACATAAGACGACGAAGAAACTGGCAGGGAAGTATAGTATACCAGAGAGACCCGTCGAAGACAAACAAGGTAAGGTAATCACTGGGATTCAAGAACCGATGAACAGGTTTGCAAAACACTCTGAGGAACTCTTGAATAAACCAGCCACACTGAACCTACCGGACATCAAGGCAGGGCTTGATAATATACCAGCTGAAGCACTGAAGTCAGACATTGAAGTAACTGCCAACATGCTCCACGTTCTATTCAGAAAGATTTGGAAGAATAAGTGCCGATGGACCGGATAGAAGGACACCTCATCAAGATACCAAATGAAGCAGATCTGAGCAAATGTGAGAACTATTGAGGCATCACATCACTGTCAGTACCAGGAAAAGTCTTCAACAGAGTATTGCTGAACTGGATTAAAAACGGACTAGACGCTCAACTCCGAGATCAACAGACTGGTTCTTA